GCCAGCAGCAACAAGAGCACGGTGTCGCATGCCTTTTGTTTGGAAAAGTTCTGCCCATCCGCGTTGACGTGAATCGTTTTCGATCTCGAGTGCTTTGCGAATCTCGGCAAGTTCGACGTGTGGCAGTTCGTTGGAAGCATCACCTTCGGCATGGTACTTGATCAGGATCTCGAGCGCTTCCTCGCTTCGGTCTTTCGATACCAGCCATCTGGGACTCTCTGGTACGGTAAACGCAAATATGAGTTGGATAACGGATGGCGCGGCCTGGAGGATAGACGGAAGACGCCAGGACCAGTCATTCGGGATAAGTCTTGTACGCAAAACAATACCTGCACCGAGAACTGAGCCAACTCCAAAAAAGGCATTGAACATGCTACCAAGGAAGTGTCGTTCTTTCGGGTGACCAAGTTCGCCCAGAAGTGCAGCACCTGAGATGATGGCGTATACGATACCATGACCGAGGAAAATGCGGCTAAAAACGAACATAGCCACTATTAGAGTATTAGCAAACATACCAACAGCGCAAAGCATGTATCTGCCTTCACCTACAATTTCTTGACAATCCCTGCATAACTGCTCCGATGATCATAATCGAAGATCCCACAATGATACTCTTTCTTCTACCCAGATGGTCGGAAACGAGAGAAACAAGAGGAATACTCGAAATAGCGCCGATGTTGTAGCATGCGACCAGCAGTCCCAATTGGCCTCCCTTGGGATGATTGAAGTAGTCCTTCCAGTAACTTAGTGCTTGCATACCGTTCATCATAGAGCTACCACCAGTTAACCAAAAAGACACATCTCTCGAACCTGGAAATTACCTATCAAATCCCGACGTCGACTCAATGAAGAGACAAAACGGAACAAGAAGCAGATACAGCCTTCGAAGATTCGGTTTGTTCCACCATCGCACCTTGTCCTCTGCGACTATGCGCTCGATGATGCCTTCACCCGCTTCTGCGACTATCGGAGCCATTTTGCAGGAGTCGTTCGAAAAGGTTTTGCTCCTTAGATTTAAGGAACTGGGGTGCCCCAGAACTCAAGAGATAGAATCACCTTCCCAAAACACCAGTATATATACATTCAAACTCTACGATTAAACCTCGCAAACCCCAGCAACCCCCACCGGCAAAAAACAACCTCCACCAACAACACCTCCAAAGTCGGAGTTGTAGCACCCGAACCGAATTTCCTCCTCAGGCACCCCATCCTAGGCCCATCTTCTTCCCACCCTCATTAACCTTTTCGTATCAGTCTTGGCTTCTTGCGGGGTCGGCACCGACATCCATCCTCATACGTGGAAAAGCTCTCCGCAGAAGCCTCCCCCAGAAGCTTGTTACCAAAAAAACAAAAAAGGGCCCAACCAGCCCCCCGCCCTCCCCTTCCTGCTGCAGCGAAAAGAGAAAGAAAGAAAAAATACAAGGGAAACCGGGCCGTATTGTAAGTGCGTATGTCGATCGTTTTTCCCACCCCCGCGTTTCGTAATGCGACGTTGAACAGCAACATGACCATCAACGGCTTGCCAAGGACACAAATAACAAGGAAACCCGAGCACACGAATCAGGTATCGAGACGTTACATTCATTCTTCCCTTGCAAAACTGACATATCCCCATCACCCGCTACCCAAGTAGTATCTACCAATCAACCACGCGACCACCCGAGCACACAAATCAGAGATGCCGATCTTTCAATCCTGCCTCCACGCGACACCCATTCCACACCCACAACTACACCTCCACCAACTCAACCCCATTCAGCCACAATACCGCACGACTAACCCAAAACCCCTCCATTATAACTTACCAAAACAACCTCCCCCCCCCTCATAAATTACCCCCATACCCTCTCATCTTCGTTTCCCCATCCCACAACCCCCCCCCGCCATACTCGTTACCCCGCTAATCCAGGGACGGGGGGGTTGGTTACCGTAGCCGCTAACCCCCATACGCCACGGCCCGTGTCAAATCAAGCCTATTTTTCTGCCTTTTCGGGCTATTCCCCCCCTCTTCCTCCACTACTACCCCCACAGAACCTTACTTAAAACTAAAAAGATCACGGGCAAAAAAAAAAGATAAAGATAAAAAAGTGCTGAAACTCGGGTCCAATCCTTCCTGCACTGTTAGTGTGTTTTACAAAACCAACGTTAGTGCGCGATTGGAGGGAGTAGTGCTGGTTTAATGTAGTATATTGTGGCTTCTTTATTTCCGGTTCGTAGTAGAGGGACGAAGGAATGGTGGGAATGATAAATATGGGTGGGATTGTATACATGGTGGCTTCGCAAGATGAGTACGGATTCGTACAAATTGTAAGTACGGCAAGTTCCGTGTGTTGATAGTGGTGGTGGTGGGATTAAGCCTGATTACCATACGCGAGTTTGGCACTTCTTTTCTTTGGGCTTGGCTGGGCTTGTTATGTAGGTAGTTGTTGCCAAGGGAGATAACGGCATACTAGCTTGTCAACAACACTTCATTTCATACCAAAAGACAAAAACACACACATGAACAGAAAGAGAAACAAAAGTGGTCGTGTAAAAGGTATCATATTCGCTTTTCCTTCAGACTAAGCTTCCTTTTTTCCTTTTCCCTTTTCCCTTTCCTCTCTTTTGATGGAAAAGAATTCCCGGTCCTATAACCAAAGGACCACAACCGACGCCGTAATATTCCATGATCATACACAAGACATAAATATCTACACAATAACACTCTATTCTACCCGCTGACATGGCTCCTCAACAAACCAAGCTGTTTACTTGGCGTTCTCGGGGCGGAGAGAGCGGACAGCCTTTCCGGCGCGCCAGATCTCAAGGTCGTCAATCTCCTTGAGCTCCTGGTTGTACTTCTCACGGTAGTCGGGTTGCGAGTTGTACTCGAGAGAGCGCTTGGTCTCGGTACCGTTCTCGACGGAGGTGTAGAGGTCATCGAAGACAGGCTTGAGGGCATCCTTGAAGCGCTTGCTCCAGTCGATAGCACCACGACGAGCAGTGGTGGAGCAGGCGGCGTACATGTAGTCCATGCCGTTGGCACCGATCAAGGGGTACAGAGACTGGGTAGCCTCCTCAACGGTCTCGTTGAAGGCCTCAGATGGGCTGTGGCCACGCTCACGGAGAACCTCGTACTGGGCGAGGAACATGCCGTGAATTCCACCCATCAAGCAACCACGCTCGCCGTAAAGGTCAGAGTAGACCTCCTTCTCGAAGGTGGTCTCGTACATGTATCCGGAACCGACGGCAACACCGAGGGCGACAGCCTTCTCCTTGGCCTTGCCGGTGACGTCTTGGTAGACGGCAATGGAGGAGTTGATACCACGGCCCTCACGGAAAAGAGTGCGGACGGTACGGCCGGAGCCCTTGGGGGCAACGAGGATGACGTCAATGTCCTTGGGAACCTCGACCTTGGTGAGGTCCTTGAAGACGGGAGAGAAACCGTGGGAGAAGTAGAGAGTCTGGATCTGTTAGATGGATTCTCGTTGGATTCTTGAAGTCGGGACTTACCTTTCCCTTGGTAAGCTGGGGCTTGATAGCGGGCCAGGTCTCGGATTGAGCGGCATCTGAGAGGAGGTTCATGACAATGGTGGCCTTGCCAATGGCCTCGTCAATGTCGAAGAGGTTCTTGCCGGGAACCCAGCCGTCCTGCTCGGCCTCCTTCCATGAAGTACCGTTCTTCCGTACACCGACGATGACGTTGAGGCCGTTGTCACGCATGTTGAGACCCTGGCCGTGGCCCTGGGAGCCATAGCCGATGAGGGCGAGGGTGTCGTTCTTGAAGTATTCCTGGTTTGATTGTTAGCTGGAGCTCTCATAGCTGATAAGTCAATGTAATTGACATATTAATAGACTTACCAAAAGCTTCTCCTTTGGCCAGTCGGCACGCTCTGTTTGGCATCGTCAGCTATCGTTTACTTGTATTGTGTATCCAATTGAAACCTACCGTAGACAGTCTCCTTGGTACCGGCAAAGTCAATGGTCTTGACACCACGAGTTTGCTGGAACTGGCTGGTAACGGCAGCGCGGGGAGCAGCCTTCTTTGCACCAGCACTCAGAGCAGAGACAAAGGTCCTCTTCTGGGCTGGAGCAGCCGCCAATTGGCGGGCGGATTGGCGGAGGGCACGGGTGACGGGTCTTGAGGCCATTGTGAATGTGTGTGTATGTGGATTGGGGTATCTTGGGGTCAGAAATCTTGGGCGGGGATGGATGGCTTTTAAACTTTGGGGCTCGACTATGACCACAGTTTGAATTTCGAAGTCTGGAGCTTAGACCACGCCGATAATCGCTGCCCCAGACCACTGACACCCGCTCATTCGCGTCGTTGGCCAATGAGACGTCGGGATATGTCCGGTGCGGGGCTGCTAGCAGGGGTGGTGGGGGGTCTTCGGGGAGAGATGCGTGTCTCCGACAGCGCTTCATATGGTGGGAACCGCTCCGTAACACAGTCATACACATGATTTCACCGGAAAGATAGACAGTGCTCACTAGGGGTTGCATGTGCTATCGTTATCATACTCTACTGCGTACAGCGTTTGACAGCCACGTAGTTGTCTTGGGTACCGTGCAGCAGTGGGCTAGACAGAGCTCTCGTGTTCTATCCGGAAAGGAACTAAGCTCACGGCACACAAAGTCTGCATGGTGATGCAATGTCCCCAAGTAAACACTGTTGCCACGCCACTGCATTGTTTTCCCGCACGAAAATTGCAACAAGTGCGTTGAGAATGATACAGTCTTTGTCATGAACTCCCAGTCAGATTGGTATAAAATTTCGAACAACTACATACGCCCAAAAACTGTTGCGCCTTTCCCAGACATGCCATGTCATATACATGCTGTCCCCTACATTTTCACATGCCCATGCCCTTGATCCTTCTCAAACTGCAACTGCTCTCGCCTCTCACTTTGCACCAAACTCCCCATGTCATGTCGTGTCTCATCAATATAGTCTCCCATGGAAGAGCGCTGGGCACTTGCGCAGCGGGATGTAGGATAGCCCTGCAGATATATCATGTGTCTCATTTGAGTACGCGGTCGAAACTCTGTCCCTTGACTGTGCCACCACCCAGCGACGCGCGCACGTTACGCTTGAAGCCTTCTCGGTTCGCCTTGAGGTCTTCTGCAGCCTCCTTATTCAACGGATCTGAAGCGTTTGGTTCGAGGAAGAGAAACTGCGCCCGTTAGTTGTAGCCACGCTCTAAAGAACCCTGAACCACATACCTGCAACCCAACAACAACCGCATTCAGGTTCAACACGGGTTTCCAGTCTTCTCGTAGAATGTTCAGGCAGACGTTGCCCTCAAGGTCAATGTTAGGGTGGTAGATCTTTTGTGTGCACTTGACTTTTGGCGGGTCGTGTGGGAAATTCTGGTTGATCTTGAAGTCAAATTTGAAGCGGCCGCCCTTGTACATACCCTCGTCGGGGTCAATTGTGAGTTCGAAGTTGAGGATATCGTCTGGGTTGGGGAAGTGCGTCTTCATTGTCGTGCCGAGGGACAACTCTTCGAGATCTTGGTTCGCGTTAGCCACGCGCCTATTACTCTGCGGATTCCGAACATCATGTACCTTTTTGTGTGCGCAGTTGGGCCGGAGTCACCTTTTTCTTCTTGCTTGACGCAGCAGCCGCAGCCTCGTCTTGCTGCTGCTGTTTCTTCTGTAGAAAGTCTGTCAGTATCTGACGATGCCCACAAGCCTTACGCGCAAGCCTCTTTTGTGTATAATCGTACCATAGACCATATTTTCATCATCTCGGCGGTATTGTATGGGGTTACTGGCTACTGCCTTTGAGTCGGTCGCGTGGGCTAAGAGGCGTGGGAGAGCGGCGGGAGGCGGTGGAACCGATGGGCTGGATGGGCTCGCTGACGTGTGGGGAAATTCAGGTAGCAGAAAAGAAGCAAAGGGCTACAGAAGCACAAACGCCAAAGGAAATACGTCTATGTAACTTGGTGTGGTAGTGAGGAAGAACAGTCGGGCAGGCTGCCACGACGTTCGGGCGGCCGTGCCCTGACGTGGGGTCGGTCGCGGTCTCTTGCGCCACTTCCCCTGACTCAGCGCTCTAATGTACTCTCTCACCATGTCCACTGGCGCATGCTTTGGTCACTTTGGCTTGTAGCCGGTACACGATTCCTCGAAACTTGACGAATTTTTTCATAGATACAAGTCTTTGAATCGCATCTCCAATACTTCTACTTACATCATCATGACGCCGACACGCGGAAGAGAAGCTCTACACTTTGCAGATGCAGAAAGCAAGCAGTTTATAGACTATTTGCCGCCAGTTCCTCCTCAGACACCAACGGAAAAGCCCTTTGTCACATTAACCTTTGCCACCTCCCTCGACAGTCAGCTTTCCATTGCGCCAGGAGTGCAAACAGCGCTTTCAGGGCCACAGTCCAAGTCAATGACACATTTTCTACGCTCCAAACACGATGCCATATTGATTGGAGTAGGCACGGCCGTTGCCGATAATCCATCCTTGAACTGCCGGATAGAAGGTGTGGGTGGTTATGGTGGTGAGGGCCTCATCGGGCAGCCCAGACCGATTGTTGTTGATCCACAGGGCCGCTGGCAGTTCAGTGAGGAGAGCAAGGTGCTCAAGCTTGCCAGGGAGGGTAAAGGAAAGGCACCGTTCATCATCACTTATGTGGCACCATCCGACGCTCGCAGAGCTGTGCTGGAAAGCGTGGGGGGCAAGTTCCTGCTTTTGGAGCCGTCACCTGCACAGAAGAGCGAGACTACTTCCTCATGGCACATGATTCTGGATGCATTGAAAGAACAAGGTCTACAAAGCGTGATGATTGAGGGCGGCGGATTCGTCATAAATGATTTGCTCGGTCCGGGCCGTGCATATTCGCTCGTTGACTCGGTCATTGTCACCATAGCTCCGATATGGCTCGGGAAGGGTGGTGTTCAGGTTTGTCCGGATGGAGGTTCTGACCGACTGCCTGTTACCAGATTGAAAGATGTCAGATGGATACCACTCGGAGAAGACGTAGTGCTCTGTGGACGGCCGAATATGTCGCTCCGGTGAGGAGATATGCGACGGTATATTAGCAGTCGTAATATACAAGTTCTATCGATCCATCTGGTTCACTCAATCCAAGGTAGCTCATCAGAGACCACACCTTGGAACAGCTCCTTGACGCTGTCCTCCAAATTCTTGAAATGCTTTGCTCCAGTGCTAGCATTCCATCCTCGTAGTCGCCTCTTGCCGCCAAGTAGAGTGCCAGTGCCCATGGGATCCTCTTTCCATGCAGCGTATCCAGACTTCTCTTCTCCCAGAAGGGTACTTGTCAATGCGTCTTGTGTCATGATTGGATCAATACCCTGAACCTGGATGCGAGTTTTGGGCCATTTGATTGTTGGAGCGTGCAACTCCAGGAACCGCTTCGCTTTGAAAGCATGGGTAATGACACGAATCTGCTTGGGATATCTGCCCGTTGCATTCCTGAATCGCAAGATGCTGAATAATAGGTTTTGATACGAATCGGTGGCTTCCTCTTCCAGCAATATGTATCCCTTGTTATAAAGACTACGGGTAGGCGTAAGTATGCTTCATGCACAAATAGTCGGGCAACAGGCTCACATACGTGTAAGCACGGCCACCGCCCAAGTGGCCTTCGGCTAGTTCTGCTGCCAGTGCGGCATGATAGTAGGATCGGGCCTCTGTTTTCAGCGTGTCTGCGCGTTTGGTAGCACCGCCACTGAAGACTAGGATGCTTGAGATGGGGTGGTTAGCGTCTGTGCCCACAGTCAAGGCATCGATACCGGCTTTGATGTGTGATACAAAAGTCTCGTGCTCGCCCGGTTTACCAGCCGCGACATCTGCCTTTTGGAAGGGAGCAAGAAGCCAATTGGATTCTTGATAAGGGCTGAAAAGCGGCAGATGGGGAGTATCGGCGTTGGGCAAGAAGATGGCATGGCAGCATACAACGACGAGGGTATGTACATTTGGATAGCTTGGGCGCGGTATCACATGTGGCGGATGGACGAATTGATCTTGGTGAGGCAGCAGCTGCCCGTGCTCAACGGCCGGCCGTGCTTGAACCTTTTCCGCTGTCTTGGCGGGGCTGGGTGTAGATGCTGACAGCTGCGACTTGGACTTTGATTTGGATCTTGGGAGGTCCACCAGGGGTGCGGCTGAGGCCATGACGGCTCGCGCCGACTTGATCGATGTGGGGTAAGGGTGCTAAAAGTCGGTGTATGTATGTACCGGGCTGGTGAGCGGATAGTCGAGTGGATGGTGTTTAGGATGTTGCACGACGGGAATGGTGTGACAAGCATGAAATATGCGGGGTATGGGATTCGCAGGGACAGAGATGAGGCGAGCCAAGGCATGAGAGTGGTTGAGGGAGTCATTGTGCGTGTCAGTCACGTGGGGATGGTTGGATGTCATGTCTACTACACTGTGTAGAGTACTGTACTACTCTGGGTGAGAGCAGGAATGGTCGCAGTCGGCCTTTTGTTGGGACGCGGATGACGGAAGGCGTGAGGCGCGCTCCTGACGCGAGACGGAAGGAACGCATGGCATGGCGCGCAGGCTGATGTCATGGGCTGTAAAAGGCAACTTCGCTTGTGCTTTTTGGGCTTTTTGTCCGCATATTCAAACAATGCTTCTCGGCGCCACGGCTGCTGCCAACAGTGGCGCAGGCTGCCGGGCGTGGCGTTGGAGCCGTGTGTGTTGTAAAATATCTACATTCGTCCCAAGTCGGTGAGAAGGGATGGCGGAATTTCGGGTGTGAGCAATATGTCTTGAACTGACAGTACAGTACCGTACAGTGGGCCAGTGCCTGTGTAGGATTGTGCTTGGCCGGGTACGCCGTGGGCGCAGGGCGGTCCGGCGGACACGGAGTCTGAGGGTCCAGGGAAGAAGCCCACATGCTTTTGACCCGCCAGAGCGGCAGCAATAGTAGGTGCATCCATATCCAGTAATTAGTCGTGGCATTAACAGCGGGGAAAAAACCTCCTGATGGCGTGGGCCCTGCTCCTGCGTCGTCGCAATCGGCGGGCCCCTGATGGACGATGGGGCATGCGACTGGCCATGCTTCAATGGCAGCCATTGTGGTGAGTACTTGGTTAGTATGCACCGCACCACCAGACACAAGCATGTGCGCCGACTCGAGATCCACTCACAGGACGCGGGCCATGTTGCAGTTCGTAACAGCGACAATGCACGCAACCCTTTTTCCAGAAGACGTGAAGATCCCTTGGGTGGGCCGTTGGCGTGCAAAGGGCAGCTTTGGAAACATGGCTGACGTACCGTGCGGCCCCTGGTTGCAAGACGACATGCACAAGCAAAGCATCCATCAGCGCCGCCACATGTACATTCATAGATGCGGGATAATTTTCTGGGACCGGATACAACCCCAGCATTGCATCTCTACATGACAATAGCACGCCTTTTGGATACACAGTAGCCGGGAACAGCGATAGTGGTAGGGCTGGTGCGAGGCTGAGCAGGTCAGCGTGGAGCTGATTAAGGCCGTGGCTCTAATTTTAGCTCGGGGGTGGCCAGCACGCGCCACACCGCCGGCGGGCACAGCAGGTTTGCCCAACATCACCGTCGTCGTCCTAGTACATGCTGCCAGTGCTGGAATCTGCACCGCCATCGTATTGGCTACCGTCAGCAGGCCACCGCCCCCGGCAGAGATTCAAGTAGACCAAGTCTGCCCGCTCTCCCGCACGACAACTTGGCCGCCCGTATAATTACATCTCCCTGCCAGGCTTGTCCACCTGCACCCCCGAAACCTCAGGTCGACCAATTATCCTGTCCCTCCCTGCGGTCTACGCGTGTTTCAGCGCGGCCGTTTTCCTAGCGCAGGCTTCCCCCCATCTCTCTGCCCAAACAGGCTTAGCCTCCTCTTCAGCACCTTTCTCAGCCCTCCAGCGCCCCAGACACTGCATCGGCCTTTATCAAGCGACACCGCCAGTCGTGCGCTCAGTGCTCTTTTTTTCTTTCCATTGTTCCTCCCTACATCTCCACCCCATCTCCCCATCTCGCCTTGCCATCTGCAGCCCCTGCCTGCGGACTGCAGCTCGTCATGGCGTTCAACAACAATAACCAGCAAGGTTACCACCTTGGAGACCCCAACACTGGTGTACGAGCCCCTGATGCCAGCAACTGACTGCAAAGGCAAAGAAAAAAAGAAGACGTAAACCATGCAACTAACACGCTCTGCAGTACGATCGCACTGAGCATGAGGATGAGGTTGCCCGCTCCCTCTTGCACGAGAACCCCACCGGTGCCAACTCAGACCCTTTCTACGGCAACCCTGATCACCGCCCACACTCAACCTACAGCTTGACCGAATCCTATGCCAACGACCGGCCAACTCAATACCCAGCACAGGGCCATGAGGGAACCAGCTACTCAGTTAGCGGTGGCTACGACCCAGCCAGCGACTTTGGTGCCGGTCAGCGTGCACCCTCACCATACGAGAGGAGCGAGACCAGCTCCACTGAGGCATGGAGGCAGCGACAGCAGCCCGGTGGTCAAGCCGGTGGCCTCAAGCGTGGCATGACCCGTAAGGTCAAGCTCGTCCAGGGCTCCGTCCTCAGTGCCGACTACCCCGTGCCCTCAGCTATCCAGAATGCCATCCAGGCAAAATACCGCAATGACCTCGAAAGTGGCAGTGAGGAGTTTACCCACATGCGATGTAAGTTTCTTGTCATTTCCTCCCCTCCAAGCATTTCCGCCGATCCGATTCTGACAGCTGCCAGACACGGCTGCCACGTGCGACCCCAACGACTTCACACTCAAGAACGGTTACAATCTGCGTCCGGCCATGTACAACCGCCACACTGAGTTGCTCATTGCCATTACCTACTACAACGAAGACAAGGTTCTCACTGCCCGCACCCTGCACGGTGTCATGCAGAACATCCGTGACATTGTCAACCTCAAAAAGTCCGAGTTCTGGAACAAGGGTGGTCCAGCTTGGCAGAAGATTGTCGTCTGCCTGGTTTTCGATGGTATCGATCCCTGCGACAAGGGCACGCTCGATCTGCTCGCCACTGTCGGTGTCTACCAGGACGGTGTCATGAAGAAGGATATCGACGGAAACGAGACAGTTGCACACATTGTGAGTTGCACCAAAACTTGGCCAGATTGCGAGGCATAAACTAACAAAGCTTAGTTCGAGTACACTACACAACTTTCCGTCACACCCAACCAGCAGCTCATCCGCCCGCACGATGACAGCGCCAGCACTCTGCCCCCCGTTCAAATGATGTTTTGCTTGAAGCAGAAGAACACCAAGAAGATCAACTCGCACAGATGGCTCTTTACCGCCATTGGCCGTATCCTCAACCCCGAAGTTTGCATTCTGCTCGATGCCGGTACCAAGCCTGGTCCCAAATCGCTGCTCGCTCTCTGGGAAGGCTTCTACAACGACAAAGATCTCGGTGGTGCTTGCGGTGAGATCCACGCTATGTTAGGCAAGGGCTGGAAAAATCTGCTTAATCCGCTCGTGGCTGCTCAAAATTTCGAGTACAAGATTAGTAACATTCTTGACAAGCCGCTCGAATCGTCTTTCGGCTACGTCTCTGTGTTGCCTGGTGCTTTCTCGGCTTACCGCTACCGTGCTATCATGGGCCGACCGCTCGAACAATACTTCCACGGTGACCACACTCTTGCCAAGATTCTCGGAAAGAAGGGTATCGAGGGCATGAACATTTTCAAGAAGAACATGTTCTTGGCCGAAGATCGTATTCTGTGTTTCGAGCTCGTCGCAAAGGCCGGATCAAAGTGGCATCTTACCTACATCAAGGCCTCCAAGGGAGAGACTGACGTGCCCGAAGGCGCTGCCGAACTCATTGGTCAGCGTCGTCGTTGGCTCAACGGTTCCTTCGCTGCCGGTATCTACTCCCTCCTCCATTTCGGTCGCATGTACAAGAGTGGCCACAACTTTGTGCGCATGTTCTTTTTCCACATTCAGATGTTGTACAACATCTTCCAGACTATTCTTACCTGGTTCGCTCTGGCTTCCTTCTGGCTTACTACCGTCATTATCATGAGCCTTGTCGGCACCAAGACCGACACCCGAGATGCTTGGCCATTTGGTAACCGTGTTACTCCCATCTTCAACACGATCGTCACCTACCTCTACCTCGCATTCCTGGTTCTGCAGTTCATTTTGGCCTTTGGTAATCGTCCCAAGGGTTCCAAATACTCTTACTTGGTATCCTTCTGCGTCTTCGGTCTCATCCAGCTCTACATTGTCATCCTGTCCATCTACCTCGTTGTTCAGGCCTTCACCAACCCGACCTCTCAGAAGCTCGATACATCGTCACCGGAAGCATTTGCCAAATCCTTCTTCTCGTCAGATGGTGTTGGTATCATTATCATTGCTCTTGCCGCGACTTTCGGTCTCTACTACGTCGCTTCCTTCCTCTACATGGACCCATGGCACATGTTCACCTCGTTCCCGCAATATCTGCTCATCATGTCCTCGTACATCAACATTCTCAACGTCTACGCCTTTTCCAACTGGCACGATGTGTCTTGGGGTACCAAGGGTTCTGACAAGGCGGATCTTCTGCCATCAGCCAAGACGGAGAAGGGATCAGACGGAAAGCACAACGTCATTGAGGAGCCTGATCTGCCCCAGGCTGATATTGACAGTGCATTCGAGGCTACTGTGAAGCGTGCTCTTGCCCCATATGTCCCACCAGAGGAGAAGGACGAGAAGACCCTCGAGGATTCGTACAAGTCTTTCCGTACCCATCTGTGTACCGCCTGGATTGGTTCCAACGCTACTCTCGCCGTTGTCATCACCCAAGATAACTTTGACCGCTTCGGTTTCTCGGTAAGTTTCAATCTTTTTCTCTTCTCTAGACTTTGCTAACATGACGATAGTCCAACGCCTCTACCAGAACCGCACACTTCTTCCAGGCTCTTCTGTGGTCTACTGCAGTACTTGCCTTGATTCGTTTCATCGGATGTCTGTGGTTCCTTGGTCGCACTGGTCTCTTCTTCTGCGTGCGGAAGAGGTAAAGTGGCGTGTGTACTACTACTACGACGCCCACTTTTGTGTTTCCAAAGCCCTGGTTCGATTACCCTAATCAGATATAATTGGCGTTTCTTGGTGTCGTTGGGCTTGAGCAGCAGTTAGGAGCTGTGGTTTTTGCTTGTTTCCAAAAAGAAAAATATCACGCGCGCATGCCTGGCGCGGATTCGCCGCGTGACTCCTCGTCCGACGTGTCACAGACATGAAATGTTTGGTTCCATTTGGAAAAGGGGAGCGGCAAAGACATCGATGCCCAATATTTTGTGTCATGGGAGGCCTGCTGGCTTGCTTTTATGCACGCTAGGGATGTATGGGCTTTTTATATTCAGACTTTAGATTGGAAATACCATAAATATGTTAAGATTGCTGTCTGCGTTTCACATGTGACCGATGACAAGGTTGTTTGCAAAGAAGAAATAACGTAATGTAGAAGTTGTTTCGAACAGTTTGGTGTGCCTAGCCAACTCTTAGATACCACTTATTACCAGTGGCGTTTTCATTTCCAGCATCAAGAATCGGTGTATCCATCCACAGTTTCTCTATGTCCAGCCTTTGACCGTACGTCTCTGCTCTATCCTCTGTCAGCGCCAAGGCGAACACTGCACAGCCAAAGAGCATGGGTCCAGCATCAACCGCCGAACACCTAGCAACAGCATCCACACCAACTGTCGGTATAAGGGTCCGCTGCCATACCAAATTCGTATTAGCATCTGGCTTGAGGCTCTGCGCCCACTGCCGCGTGATAGTAGGTCGTTGTTGCTCGGCCTGTAACCTCAACATGCGAACACCGCTCGCACCCGCATCCGAACATATAACCGTTGAATCCCCATCTGTCACTGTACCTTCCAGGACCGCCACCTGATCCCGCTGTACACCCGCACTCTTAAGCTCCGACACACTACTGAGTTCCGGAAGTACCTCCCCTTTCCTCCATCCCCGCCCTTGAATCGCAAACCCACCCTGCACAGCCCTCAACTGCACATCACTCGCACCATGATTCTTGATACTATGCCACCGTACATACCAATCCGGCCAGCGCTTGCACGGCGCAATAAGCAGCGTTGACACTACTATCTCGGCATCCACCCAGGGTTTCCACTCGCTGCGCAGCGCAGGCACTGTTTCTGCGACTTGGCCGTTGTGAACGAGGTCTACGGTGTCGAAGCGCGGGGAACTGACTTTCCACGGTACCCGCCATGTATCGCCGCCGTCTTTGCTCAGTGCTAAGGTACTATCCGGGGCGAGTTGTTGGAGTAAGGGGCCGGTAGGGACGCTGAAGGTGAAGTGGGATGAGTAAGCGTATTTTCCGTATTTGGCCTCTGTGGCTTTGAGGGGCCAGGGGCAGAATTGGCCGGTGGAGAGGAGGAAGTGGTGGTTTGGGTTGTTGCAGAGGATGTGCATTGGTGGTTTGACTGGGACGATGACGTGGGGGGAGCTGCGTGGCAGTGGTTTTTCTTCGGATGTCCAGAAGGGGTGGCTTGGTGGGAGGGATAGTGCGAGGAAGGATTTCATGGCCCAGTACGGGGATTGTGGGCTGTTGTAGTCTTCGCTCAGGTACATGTTTGGGTATGCGAAGCCGATGGTGAGGGTGCCGTCGCTGTTGAAGATGTCGGGTTTCGTGGCCCACCAGCGGAAGTGGCGGAGGAGAAGTCCTTTGATTACGCCCCAGTCGTCCAAAGGTGCGGGTAGAGAGACGTCTGCGAAGGCGATGGCGGACCAGAAACCTGCGAGTGCAAAACGATATGTGAGACTGCGGCCAAAGGGGATAGCAGCACCTGGGTTGTATAAATCAGTAGCCATTGTATCAAACAAGAAACTTTAGATTCCAAGCCATACATACCATTACCATCAAAGTACCTCCAAAAACTCCCCGCAAACTCCCTCGCCCTCCTCCTAAACCGCTCGCACCGCTCCGGATCCAGGTCCCCCGCCATCCTCACATACACCAACTGCGAAAACTGAATCGCAAAGCTCCCAGAGTAATAATCCGCCTGGCGTCCCTCATCCCCCCACATCCCATCCGCCGCCCACCCTTCCCCCCTATAAAACTCCTCCATGAGCTCCAAATCCGCCTGCATAGCCCCCAGCACCTCTTCCTGCGGCACACCACACACCCTCACCAACGCCAAATTCGTCATCACCCTAAACCAAAGCCAATTCGTCGTCGGAAAATCTTTCCCATTGATCGTTTGTAGCCAACTCGTAATATTGCGCTTCGCACCCTCCGTTTGTGAATGAAACAGCGTCTCGGGCGCCGCCAGCAGCGCAAAAGAAATGATTTCCATTTCCACCATGCGCTGATCGCGCAGGACGACGGGGCCCCAGTACTCTTCGTGGGTGGGATCCGTGCCGTTTGCTAGTCCGCGAACAAAAGGCTCGATTGTTTCGGCTTTTTCAGAGGGACTCAGAGTGTCAGCGTGTGCTAAGGCGCCAATGGCCCAGAGGGGGCGTGCGAAGCCTTCGAGTTGCGCGGCGACATCGTCGAAGTGTGTGCCTGTTGCTAAGCCGAGTTTGATGCGTGCGCCGCCTGGGGAATGGAAGGGATGGAGTGCGTCGAGTAGGGTTTTGGCTGCGGCTTGGAATTGAAGGCGGGTTTGGAAGGTGTTGTTGGAGAAGTTTGGGAGTGGTGGCATTGTTTTGTTCATTAAATTATTCTGTCCCCTCCCCTCCTCTTTTCTCTGTCTCTCTCTCTCTCTCTCGCTTTCCGCCCTCTTGCTTGCTTGTTTTTCTAAAGGCCTTTGGTGGGAATCGTAAGATGGCTGACGCGGGGGCGGAATATGTAGGTTTGTATATAGTAGTATTAGTGTTTTCTCGATATTAAAGGATACTATGGACTAGTTCGTTCATTGGGTTTTTTGGTCGCGCAGTTGGCCGGTAAAACGGTTGCAGTCTGCGCGTGCGCCCTGCATATCAACCAACCCTTTGTTCCCCGCATTCGGACCAAAAAAGGTTGCAAGTCCGATGCAAGAGCAGTTTGCCCTTCCCCGAGGTAATAGCATGCCGTCCCCCAGATTGATCTGTCCAACCCGTTGGTAGAAGGTAGAGTTTAAGTGCGGCAAACGTGCTCGCTCATTAAAAGTGGACTGATGGGCCGAAATGAGTGCTAGTTCCGCGGGGTTGCGCGTGTGGAGCGACTTTAATGTGATTTATCCCGATGCCCGCTCGCTGCATTTCCTCTAAGCCCGCTACTTTCTTCCTTTTTGAACAATAAAAAACGCCTCGTTTTGAAGATGTCGCGCTGATGTCGGCTAGCTGGACCAATTACTCGGCTGGCAATGGCAGCCAAGCACCCGCTCACGAAGACGATGGGCCCGTCTCGGTAGCAGGCGATATCCCTGCCTGCGTCAGCTGCAAGCAGCGCAAGCTGCGTTGCTCGCGCGAACTGCCTTCGTGTACTCATTGTCTGAGGCTCTGTACGTCGTTGCGTTTGAATAGTAGTGACATGGTTCGTCGCTGATCCTCACATGCAGCCTCTGAGTGTGTGTACCAGCCAAAGAACAAGCCAGGCCTTAAGCCAGGCGCCGTCGAGGCCTTGACCCGCCGTGTTGGTATGCCGATCTGAGATCCTTCTGGGTTTACTTTGCAACGCGTCTCACAATCTACAGCTCTTCTGGAAAAGATCCTTTTGGACGAAAACGGTCAGGTTCGTGCGCGATATGTAGATGAGGATGCACCGACCAAAGGGCAGGCCATCGTTCATGAGACGCCACCGACCACGACCACGACCACGACCACGACCATGAACACGACAGAAGCCGCGTTTCGTGTGCATGAGCAGCCCCAACCTAACAAGCCTATTCCTGAACAACGTTATGTGGATATTCCAAGAGAAAGCGCACCAGAAGTACCCAAGGAAGAGAGCATGGCGCCAAATCCTTTGAAAAGAAGACACCACACGCCCGTCCCTGAGAGCTGGCTTTTCCCGTTTGCAGACGTCGACATTGCTCAACATCTTCCGTCCCAGCCACTTCTCGAGAAGCTTGTAGATTTCTTCTGTATCTCTTTCCACCACTGGATCCCATATATCCACAAGGCGCGGCTCCAGAAACGGGTGCGTCAGGGCTCACAGGATCCCGGTCATGTCCTTGTTCTCCACGCTCTAGTCGCTGTTGCTTTGCGACATATGGAACCCAGCATACTTTTCTTGGATTCCGACCAGATCCACCAGCAAATAAACATATCGCGCATGATTGTGGAAACACATGCGATGCGAAATGTTACTATCGAAAGTCTACAAGCACTCATCTTCCTTGTATTTGATCTCTTGAACGATGGCCAGCCACAGAGGGCTTGGCCACTAATTGGATCGCTCACTAGGACAATTGACTACCTCCAGCTCACTACTGAGCCATCGCTCTTACATTGCAGATCACTAATGGCACCTATGCGTCTGGTGAAGCCTTCGAATGACTGGACGGAGCTGGAGGAACGCCGGAGACTATTCTGGGTCATCTTCTTGCTTGATCGATTTTGTTCGGCATCTACGGGGTGGAATACCAGTCTGACCGCAGAAGATGTCCATCGTCGATTACCAGCAGACGGAGGCTATTTTACCCGTGAGGAGCCTGTCACCACTCCATATTTCGGTACGTAAGCATACTTGGTTGGCGCTTCAGAGGGAGATATGCATATTGATGTTCCAACCTTACTGACCAATGATGGCAGGAATTTGGAACAAAGCAGCGGCTCGTATCGGACGCTCATTAGCCAACGTACCAGCTCAATATAATGAGGATGATCCTGGAACAGACCTACCTCCAGGTGCTAGTCCAAACTCGACAAACAGCTACATAGACGCATCTAAACTTGGCGCTTTCGCGTATTGCGTTGAAGCAACTGAGAGTCTGAGCCAAGTAACCACATTCTTCCTCCAGCAACGGATCAACTGGCAAGATAAAGAGCATGCAGTCAGCTGGCTGACGCGGTTCAAAGAGCTAGATCTTCGGCTTGTTCAGTGGAAGATGTTTCTACCACCCAGATGGAAAGACTCCAATATATCTGCCGACCGAGCAGTGGTAGACATGGACCCAAATCTAACTCTAGCACACATTACTCACAACACATCGATGATACTGCTACATCACCCAATTGGATATCCTCCTAAAGAATGGAATGACTTCGTCGCGCTCCCTAAAGAATGCAGTGCGCAAACATGCGAGCTCGCTGCTGTCGAAACTTCCAACATTGTCAACAAGTTCCTAACCCACACTCCCATACCCTTTGTCAACGTACAATTCTCTTTCTGCGCTTTCGTCGCTGCCAAAGCCCTCTTGTTCGGCCACCAAGCCACCCGGCGTCCTCTCCAACCCGAGTTCAACCGCCTAGTTCACGACCTCTGGGAGATGGCCACCCGCTGGCAAAAAAGCCGCGACACCAACCAGCGCCCCAACAATCAAGCCGCCATGTACGCCGACCAACTCGAGCGCCTCCAAGAAGCCTGCCACCACGACCCCTATTTCCGCTTCGACTTCTACGACCACAGCGGCATAGCACTATACCCCCAACACTTTGCAAGCCCAACCTATGCACCCACCCCGCAAACCCGCCCAGACAGCTCCGCCACCGAACGACCTATAAAGCACCACACACGCAAAACCAGTCTCACAACCCCCCAACTAACCCTCAGCCCAAGCACCAAACCACCACCTCAAGACCAACACCACCACACCCTCACATCCCCCACAAGATACATCCCGCATCCCCACCAAACCCACCTCTCCCCACCCGCCCCGCAAACCCCCATCTACAAATCCCCACACATGCCCCAAACACCTTCTTACCCCCCTCCTCCTCCTTCAATCTACCACGCCGGCGCACCTCCATCTGGCAACCCACCCTACAACACTACCGGGCTAGGTGCGCAAGGCACACAGCAGCAGAGCGTACAAGATCAATCGCTCTTGAACCTCTCAGACGCATTTATGGATTCGCATTTCCTGGACATGGATCGCGTCATCACGTTTGAAGAGGCGAGTTTTCTTTTACCGGGAGATGGTTTTAGGTGGCAGTGATTCGGCATGAGATCTGGCGTTGAGAGTCTTTGGGGAAAGGGAAAGTGGGGGAGGGAGATGGCTGAAATTCTTCACTTCGTTATGGTGATAATGACTTTGTAAATGGTTTTGATTCGGTGATTTTACGTAGCTGGCATGAGATGTGCACAATGTTGGAGTTTTGATTATGGCCAAGGGTAACGTGGTGTAGTTTTAATAAACTTGTTTGATACCCCCCCCCCCCCCTCATTATCATTACAGTGCAGGCCGTGGAGAAAATGCAAGTCTGGTTTTCTTTGGCTCCAAGTTTCACGAAATTTGGAAAACCTCTACACGGAATTCTTTCGGCACTGACAGTGTCGATATCAGTGTTTATGAGCTGTTTTTATTGAAAAGACTGATGCTTCACGCAAAAGGTACAAGCAATGATCCGGCTTTCGACACTACACCAGCTCGATTGTGGGTTGCCTCTTGATTTTTGAGCTCGATCGCGTATCGTGCCACGTAACCTTACACTCCTGGTCGCCCCCTATACACCCCATTCAATCATCAGTGACGTACCCCCATTCAGAATAGTACTCCATGAGTTCATCCAAGTCTTCTTCATCATATGTTTCAGAGTCAGTTGATTCGAATGGTTCTCGTTCTGGTTCTGACTCTGGTCCCTCAAAAAGTCGTACACGACAGGTCGGACACGTGTTCGCCGAATTAAGCCAAGTGTTGATGCAGCGGTAACAAAAGACGTTGTTGCAGCATGGCATCTGTAAGGGTACGTAGCTTTCGGCATCTTCGTCGGTGGCACCGTCTGTGAGAGATATAGAGTCCGATTCAGTGGTATCGCTTGGGGTACTAGGTGCCGATGTAAAATTCTCCAGGCAGATGGGACAGTCAGTGTCATCATCCGGTAAGGGACATACTGATAGGCCGTGGGCGAAGAAATCGTCTTTGGTAGGTAGGTCGGACATTTCTGGGGTGGGCTGAATATGCTATGTGAAGAAGAATAGGCCAGAGTGGGACGAATCGAGCGTTGAGTTTATGTTGAGATGTGTGGGAGCAGTGAAAGAGCCAATGCAGTGACCACGTGCAGCTCTTTCAGGCAAAGCCCATGACTTTTTGAACAGTCAACGGATGATTGTGTATGATTGACATCAATTCATTAAACCATTGCCGCAGCTCTGAATATCGTTTGCTAGACGAGATTTGCACTTCCAGCCGATCACGGTGCCCATTTCGCGATATTGTTCGGAATCAATCTCTTGAACATGTCCAGCTGCTTGGCATGCACCGCCATCTTCGCACTCAGAATTTCCGGTCGTAACTGCAGTGTGCGATCGATACGCTGCTGGGAGCCGCTAAAGACGACGGTATAGTCTGGTAAATGAGTATTTGGGGGCAGGGAAGATGCAGCCGTGATAGTGCAATACTGTACACACGTTTTAGTACTTGAAAACTATCAAATCGTGGAGGAGTAGTCTTGCATACCTTTCCAATGATGCTACCCCTCCCTATGACAGCACCGACTTCAATCACAGTGCCTTCGCCTACCTCGGCAGCTTCAACTACTGCGTTCGATTCAACAACCACGTTTCTTCCCAGTACTGTTCCCTCGCTCCTCATAGATTCTCTGGCATTCGCATTGCTGCGTGCTGACATGTTGGTACGCCGACCTTCACTATCTAGTTCAGATCCCATGCCCACGCCGACTTTTGCTCGCTCGAAAATAACACATCCTTCATCCAATACGACGGGTGCCAATGCGCTGCTGAGCTTGCTATGTGGGTGCAGTACAGTATTCGGGCCAATCGTTATCGGGTGAAGGCCGGTAAGTTGCGCGTGCTGGGCAATGAGGACTGAAGAGTCTAACACAATCGATGATGGTTTCGGAAGGAGAGATGTGCGTTTTGGTGCTCCTGACACACGGCGGTCCGACGTGGGACGGCCTGTAGTTAGATGGGCGGACATTTATGAAGTTGTTGTCTGTATGCGGAGTTCAAGAGAACTGGGGTTACAATCAGTGGACGGATGCGAAAACGCGCTACGGCGTTAGCGTATCGCCGAGTCACATGATACGTACTCTGGAAGGTACTGAATCTGGCATTCTAATCATCTTCCATATCCTATAGTTGTATTCAATAACATGGAATACATCTCATTTCCACAAGCTCACAGTGAAACTCGTGTGGTAAAGGGGTGGGTATCTCATAAACATGCATTACTACGTATCACATCCATTCATCCTGTATACTGCAGACGACCAATGTAGTCATCCCGCAGGCGACATATGCTCGATCTATTAAATCAAAAATCATGCCAAGCCATGTAAACAGACAACCAACCGTTCAAACACTACACCACAAACTTCCGCGCTCCATCACTACTCGTCACGTTGCCTTCCCCACCACTGTCAAGCTCCGCTTTCTCAGGGCTAGCACACTTCTCTGGAGAATTTCTCCCGAACTCATGGCCTCCCTCTCCTTGACCTTCGCCGCTGTGCATGCTGTCGTCGTCAGATGAGTCTTCTATGCCTTCAAACATGCGAGCAAAACGCTGGTGGCCTTCGCGTTCTTCCTCCTCTTGCGTCTTGGGCAATGAATCATCGTCTAGATCGTCCTCTGCGTCACGTGCCGATTCGATTTGGGCCCTGCGTTGGGCGAGCCGGAGAGCGAATTGGCGACGCGCTCGCGAGGGCGGTACTTGCAGAGGCTGTGGGATGCTTGACTGGAAACGGGTGTGTGTCAGTATAACAGGTCAACGACTAGAGTGAATGCTGATCAGCGAGACGGAGATGGAACGCGACCAAAAGAAATTACAGGGGAAGACCGAGATTGAACAAGCAAACATGATAGAGAGATGAAGACGACGGTAGGGAGGGCATGCTGGATCATGGAAATCATCTTTTCACACAAAGGAAATGATAGAAAAACCACATCTTACGATGTGTATTACTACATGTATCATACACCCTGTTGGATGACCGAGGAATGTATGTGCAGAAGAAACGATGTTTGTTCCATGGATCCAGCATGTGAGCCCTCTACCAGTCCCAATTCATGATACAAACAGGTATAAGAAAAGGAAACGCACCAAGGGCGGGAAACGATCGTGGTGGTAGTGTGTGTATGGTCGGGGCGATGCGATTATCGATAGTCCATATCAGCATCGTCAAATGAGATTTCACCCACTTGTTCGGAGTCGTCGACAGGACCCTGTCGTTCCCGTTCTCTCTCGGTGTCGACATCGTCCATGTCTTCGTCTTCTTCATCACTCGAGTTAGTAAAGCCACTAAGCAAGGAGCCACCGCTGAAGGTGTACCCACCACCTCCAGTGTCACCGGCATTGGTGAGCTCCATGCTGTCGAGGCCTATGGCACCGTTGCCGGCGAGGCTAGCGTTGGAGAGTCCCCCACTGTCGCCTACAAAGTTATTCGCTGCGTTGACGGCATTAAGCACCGCTTGTCTGGGGCCAACGCTCATGTCGGGTCGTACTCCTCCGAGGATGGCATTGTCTCGTTCTCGTGTCTCGGCCAGGACGTGTTCGACGTAGTGCACCCACTCCTCGGCGTGGACCTTTTCCAGGACCATGGGTGATAGGACTTCATCCGTGTGTCGCTCAGTAAACTTGAGCACTTCTTCTGCAATCAGGGTAAGATGGCCCATGTATCCTAGTCGCATGTGTGTCTCCTTATGCGACTTGTCGCTCTCTTCTTGTCCTTTGATGATTCGTTCAGTTATGGCGCCGCTGTCGAATAGGTTAATTGCTAATTGCCGGTTGTACCCATGCTCCATCTGGCCGTTAAACACCTGTTGAACAACGTCATATACCACATTGTGTAGAAAGTTGTTCCAAGGGAAACGGAAAAAGAAGTCCTGCAGGTGTTAGAAGCTATAGCCAGTGGTCTGAATGAGAGCTTACAAGTATAGTTGGCACAACTCTGTTCTCGACAAACGTAATCTTCAACAAATCGCCAACCACGGGTGTTCCATCGATATCGACCTCGAACCCTACAGTGTCTTCTGTGCTTCCAAACACCACGGAGCGGACACTTTGAGTTTCGTCAATCGGGGTAATCTCGGAAAGATCCGATCCCGGTACAGGTGCAGTAAACCGCGAAGTGTCGACCTTCGCGGGCGAGGAGCCATTGTCACGGTTCTTACCCGCAAAAAGCGGTGCTGGTTTATCGTCAGGGTGAGGCGAAAGAGGAGGATCTGGTAGATCGATGTTGCCAGACTCTGAGGTCTGATTGAGCTGCTGTGTTAGTAAAGATGGCGAGGACTTGGTCTCAGTCTCAGGTTTCTCGATCTTTGCAGATTCCGGGGCCTCCCGACGATCGTTCATAACAGTATCGTTACCCAGACCGAGATCATCGACCTTGGCTGTTAGACCTGCTGATGTGGGGGATTCTGCATCGTCTATAGGCTTGGCGGGAGAAGGAGCCGCTTCAGTAGACATAGTAGAGTCTTTGGGTGGTGTGAGAGGCTCATCGACGAATTCACCATCGTCACCCACAGTCTTACTTGTGGTCGTTTCCTTGGGCGCATCCCTAGGAGCCACTTTAGGCGAAGGTTCCAATGGCTCGCCAATCTGTTCCTTGTCGTTTCCAGTCTCTTTTGGGTCCTCAACAGCGACCTCTGGCGCAACGACCTTTTCGAAATCATCCTCGGAGCTGTTCTGCACGTGCAGAGGCTTAATCTCAGCAGGCGAGTCCATGGATGGGGCGCGCGCGTGATGGAACCCTTGACTGTCAACACTGGTGGAGAAATCTCCTGGGTTCCCGGGGTTTGCTGAGGTTAGTTTACCGTCGGCTTTCAAACGTTCTCGCTCGGCATCTCGTCTTCGGACTTCGGACTCACTACCGCGCTCATTGAGCAGCGCCATGTTGCTACAGTGTAGTAATTCAGCCATTAGCTCGCAGGTCTTGAAGCGGTCGAATCCGAGAGGCTCGATCTTGTCACCAAAGGCTGTCTTGAGCTCACGCTTCTTCCTTGTGATGGTGCCGTCTGACTCTGTCACCACTTGGCTGGAGCTATTGACCAGCTCCATGAACTGTGGAATATGATTTGCAAACTGTCGAAGTAGCGTTCCCAAGTAGATGGGGTCTGAGTTCTTGGGCACGGGTCCGATTTGGTTCTCCAAGTCGTAGTCGGAATTGTTTTTTCGGATGACCTCGATAATGATGCCCACGCCAACAGTAAGCGGGTTACCGCCATGGAGCATGTACTCTATCAATTGCTTGAGACATGACTCGGAAACAAGTTGCCGAGTAAGCTCATTTGGCCCAATTACCGACTGGTCCTGTGTTGTAGCGTTGGCAGATATAGTGATGATAGCCTTGAGGAAATCGCCGGCTGATGTTTGAGTCGAGGTCGATTGGTCTGGTCGGAGGAAGGCAATCAATCGTGGGACGAGATCTTGCTGTTGTAACCACTGCGCTTTTGTCAGTCCTGCCTGCCGATCTGAATGGCTGCACCCACATCAACAATGCCTTGGCCGCCTTCGCTCTTCTCAAGGCTGATAATCTTCAATAACAAGTCCATGATGACTGGGCAGTCAACGTGTTGTAGCATATCTGGCACAACGTTGTCCAGAGACTTGAAGAAGTCGAGCATCTCCTCCATCTTGCGGTCGAGCAGCGACTCGTTGACTTTGGTGAAGTAGCCGGCCTGGACAGGGTCAAGCGGGGCAGGCTGCTTGATGTAGGCCCAGAACTGGCGCAGGCTGTCCTGGTTCTCGAGCACGGCTTCTGATATGGACCATACTTCAGAGGATAGGATTTCGCACGATACGTAAGCGTACTTCATCCGCTGGCGCTCCTCCTTGCTCTCCTCGGTGTCGCCTGCGTCCGACTTTGTGGTCGAGGTTGAGCGGGCCCTGACTCTGCCAAAGAAGCCAGCGCGACTGGGACTCCTCGCCTCATGCGCCAGCGAGCTTCCTTGGTCGTCGTCGTGGGGTAGGTTGGGCCTAGCGG